GGGGGGAGAAGAGGGAAGAGAGATTCAGTTACGTGGCCGTAAACGAACCCGCCCTAGTCCCTTGCCTGTTGGCCTCGGCACCGCCGCGCCGCCTTTTTGCCTCTGCCAACGCCAGGCTAGACTACAGCGCTGCTTCTCGCTCGCAGGCCGGCCACCCGACACCTGCAGCTTGCTTGCTGCCTTCTCTCCTACCAGTCAGTCTCAGCGGCGAGGTGGGGAAGGTCAACACAACACCTCATTCATATACGAATTTATCGCGCCACATAATAACTCGAAGAGCGAAACATTTGCGCGAGTAACAAAATGCCGAGCGATAGAGGCCGGCGGGTGAAGGAAGGGAATTAACGCGCGCGGCATTCTTCGAGCGGTGGTTAATGGCGGAGCAAAAAGAACAACAAGATGTGGGTGAAAACGAATTCTTTCCAGTTCATGAAATGTTCTCAAGTGGTACTTTGGGCTAGTTTTTTTTTCTCCAACTCCCGCTCCAATTAAATTCTACGCTCCGCCATCTTGTCGTTGACCTTTGAGATTAACAAGGTTTGCTCGCGTCGGCTTCCCCCACTCCGGTTGCGTCTGGGATAACATTTGAGCGGTAAACAGGCTGAGCTCTCGGAGAAAGAAACCTGCCTCGAAAGGAAGCCGAAAAAAAAAGTCTTTTACGACGGTAGAACACAAACAGGGAAAACAAAATCTTTCATCAACTTCTATAAAATGCAAAAGCGTTATTGCTTTCCTAGCTGTATGCTTTGAACACAAACTATTTACTTTCACTGGCTGACGAGAAGAAATAGAAGACCTCGAAGATATTCTGCCTGAACGAGAGAAAGGACCCACCGAGGCCAGGAGCGGGGCGAATAGAGAGGGAGAGCTGCGGGCAGAGCCCCGCGGAGAGAGCAGATGCAGTGCAGACGAGCGCTGCTCACGCGATTCTCAAATAACGGCCAGCGCTGCCAGCGCCACGGCGCCGCGCAGAGCGTCTATTCAGGAGGAGAGCGGGTGGCGCAGACAAACCGGCAACCGATATCGCTCGCGGCCAAAATTCAGCTCAGTAGTGATGGGGATGGCGAGCGTCCCGGCAAAGGGAAAGAGCCGGAGAAAGTGAAGAGGTGGGGTTGATAGCGACAACGGCGTCGAGGAAAATTAATCTGGTTTAGCGTTTCATTTATCATTAATGTGGGGTGTGGAGGTTGCAAACCAGGAGGGGGAGGGGAGGTTTGACTCGATGGCGCAAAGTAAAGAGAGTCTCGAACTAAACCTTTTCACGTCGGGCGTGTTGCTTCGATGAGAAAGCCAATGGGCCGAGCAGTGCGGAGCAGTGGGCGGATGTGTCAACATAATGATGATGAAGTATGCAAGCGGTCTTGTTCAGCGCACATTCAAGAATGATGGCCATGTTTCATTCTTTGACTCCATGCCACACGGCAATAGAGACCTAAATAAAAGTGGGTGACATTTAAATCAAACTCACTAAAAAGGCAAACCAGCACGATAGAGAGGCAACTCAATTCGACCATGGATTCTGTCGTCGCGCTCGTCTTACTTTCCATTGCCATTTTTAGAGGGGCATTTTGCCCTTTCTGCGGCTGTGCAGAGTAGCAAAGACAGCCCGTCGTCGCCAATGGGGGTCGGCGCAAGCTCGTTCTGTTCGACGGG